CCTACCCCTATGTCTTCAAGAGTTCCACCTACTTTCTCTTCCAGGAGATTTAGTGTCTCTGCTTTAATGTTTAGATTTTTAATCCATTTTGACTTTAGTTTAGTACATGGTGATAGACCCGGGTCAAGTTTGAGTTTTCGGCATGTAGAGAGCCAGTTTTTCCAGCACCATTTGTAAAACCTCCAAATTAAAGATGAATAAGAAAACATCTGTTCATCTGGCATACTGAAGGAACAACAGGAAATGTGATTTCAAATATTTTGACATTTTCAGGTATTAGTTCCAAAAGTCAAGAGAGCAGGGTGATAAGTGACTCACATTCCTGGATTATTGAAAACCAAGCCTGAGACTATACACAGTGCCACGCTGCCAAAACATGCAAATCAGTACGAAGCACAGCTGGCAGCGGGACTAGGCCTGCGGGCACACTTTTAAACCAATGGCTGAGAAACGGGACCAATGAAGCAACCGTTCAGTGACATCCACAGGCGAGATTTTACCTCCTTAAGGTGGACAGCAAAGAAGCCATCATTCTGCGAACTCATGGACACCTTGGTCACATCCACCAGGGGCACCTCGGACTTGATCTGTCCAGACTTCTGGTCAGCAAGGAGGAGGTTATTATTTGTTAAGAGAAAAATCCGGGATGTACTCTGTAACAAAACAATAAACAAAGCCAGTGATGAAAAATATCCCCCAAATGGTTCATGGGTTTAACACGCTAGTTATGCGCAGAAATGTAGGTTATATTCCAGGATCTTCAAGCAATACGCAGAGCTACATAAACCTAAAACACACTAAATGGCACAAGCAGCATATTTTAACTTGGAAAAATTTCAGAAAAATCTACAACATTCCGCCTAAGTTTAATGGTGAAATTGCCTCCTTCAACGTATATAGAAAACATAAACTACAAATTTTAATATTCAGAAAACTCAGGGCCCCTACGAAATCTAAGGCTGGTGGTTTTCACTGATCAAGGGCTTGGAAGTTTTCAGGATTAGCGTTTTTACCTTCCCGTTAGCACGGTTAATTTTGCTCACAACTTCGGCGATGATGATCTTCTCCTCAATGGCCTCTTTGAGTTTCTTGTACTTGGGGTCCTTGTTGATTTCCAGGTACGCTCCTTGGAATGGCTGCCCAACACTAAAGGAGAAAAAATCTCCTGTACATTAGAAACCATTTCAAATGTGTTTATCCCGGTAAAATGACACCAGCTCTGAACAACTGACAATGTCACGAGAAGTGATTTCAGTTTATTTCATACATTCCACTTGCGTCTGTGCATCTCTGAAGCGATCACAGCATCTGATAGGTATGACTTGGATAAAAATCTTCATGCAGAAAAATTTGAATAGAAAGCACTGACGAAGACACCCACACGCAAGCACGTGGCCTCTTGCCACGGAACAGGCCATCTTTGCAATCTGCCAAAGCCAAATCAGCAGCTGCCCACCAGGGGCTCACTAATGCTGCCCACCGACATGCCTGGGAAGAAAGCTGAACCGAGCCCCTCCGCCTGCTCCAGAAGAGCTGCACTTTCTTGCCGAGCTGGCCCAGAGTAAAGCGGCTCTGAGGGATCACCGTGAAGACCCATGCCTGCCCTCCTGGGCGGACCTAGTGGGACACAAGGAGCCCGGGCCAGGTGCAGGTTGAGAGCAGCTTCCTTTCCAACCAGTAGGGGCAAAGGGCACGCTGCACACTGGCCACTGAGATGCCACAGTGCGTCTCCCTAATGGCTGCAGGTGGCCCTCTTGGGGCAGCTTCCAGAGACGGCAAGAAAAAAAATAATAAATTAAATAAAAGAAAAATAAATTAAAAAAAAACATATATATATATATATTACAAAATGGTCCTTCATTTATATCCCCCTTTTTGTTTACTTTTGTAAAATTTGGGTATATATATATGCTTCATTTTGAGCTACTTAGTGCTGCCAGTGTGCACACGCAACTGTAAATGCCTGAGCCGTGGGTGTGGACGAGGGAGAGAACTCCACGTAGGTGGTCACGCGGCTCACAGCTTCCACAATGGAAAAGGCTGCGATTCTCACAGGGGGAGGTAGCACCCCTCCCATGCATGGGCGAGGTGCCAACACCCCGCAAAACTAGGCCTGAGAAAAGACTCAGCTTAAAGTTAATGTTTTGTGTTCATGTTTGAGCACGTTTTACATCATAAAAAGTGTTAAAAACTTTTGAACTTGTCAGGCGGATCACTACGAGTCCGATCTAGTAGTGAGACCCTGCACACCCTGGAGACCCTTCCCTAAAAAATACAAAAAACAAAAACAAAAAACTTCTGAGTTTGTTTCTTCAAGGGTGTATGCTGCAGCCTCCAGCATCTGAAGACTCATCTTTCGGGAGCGCTCCTGGAGGTTATGCTCCAGGGCTGCAGCTGCTCAGGAGGGCTCTAGCCCCAGCACCCTCTCTGGACTACAAACGCACAGAAGATAACATCAGCTGCTGAAGAAAGCACACAAGCGGTTTTCCTGTGTAAATACGCTCCGTAAGGCAGGCGCTCGGGACAACTCTGGGTTGAGTCACAGCTAAGGGAGTGCACACCACAGCCCACAGCCAAGCCAGCACCAGCTGACGAGTTAAAGTATTTCAGATGTGAAAGGTTGAGACAATCTATGAAATACATGTGAAGCCTTAGCATGGGTTTTTTTTTTTTTTTTAATTTCAAAGTCATTCTTTAGGAAAGGCTCAAAGTTGTTAAAAGATTTTGGTTTGAAATTCTGTAGGCTACTCTTTTATAAATAGCACGTTGAAAAGGATAGGATTTTCACGTGAGATGATGAACGTGGGCTATGTGTAAGTACTAGGACAAGCAGTCTTTTTCACAGAGTTTACTTGCTGATCATCTGTGTGTTCCCTCTTTCTGTTCTGAGGACACAGTGTCTGTGACGAAGGCCACTATGTCAGGCTGCAGAGGCCCCCAACTGTAAGCTAATCCAGCAAGCCCTCCTGGAAGTCCCTAAGTGTGGTGCTGAGGTATTCATCACCTAGGGCTGATCGCAAGATGACCCACAGAAGCGAATGCTGGTCACCTAGTACTCAAATCAAACTCCACTGGAGAAAGCGCAGAAATATGGTAATGAGAAGAAAGTGAAATACTGACTTCACGGGTAGAGCACAAACCGCAATACCTAGATGGGTATAAAGCCTTCTTGTCTTTGAAGAGTTCACTGGCTTCGAGCTTTTCTTCATAAATGAGCTTCTGCTGGTCTGTGAATTGGTCCCTGTATTTTTTACACTGTGAGATATGAAAAGAACAACCAAAAAATCACTTCATATAAATCATTAGTCATTCTTAAATACATTAGCCAATTTAACGGCAAAAAGAGAGTGAAGTGTACAGGACACTCATGCAGTGGGCTGTGACTGATTTTTCTTGGTGAGTGTTTAAAAAGTGGTCTTGGAAAATGCAACAGAAACTATTGCTGGTCCCACAGGACTTAGGGAGTTTCTCTCCAACATACCAGGGTCTTCTTGGTAGGGCCCCACAAGGAATGGCAGGGCGAAAGGATGTGCCAGAACTCAGGGTGTCCCATTTTCACACACACACACACACACACACACACACACACACACACACACACACACTTGACCCAAAGCATCACAAACCTGTTCATGTTTTCTACACGCCAGCACTCTTTTTTGCCCTACTGTACCTCGCTTAAGCACATGAGCACACTACACTAAGAAGGCCCCACTTCCCTCACTACCACTTCAGAACAAGGACAGCAGGCCTGCGAGATTCTCTCTCACTGTGACTCAGGAAGTGGATAAAGGAGCCAGGGACAGCCACAGGAGCTGTCCCAGGTGGGGACTTCGTGAAGACATGCCATCGCCACCGCCAAGCTCTCCGAGGAAGCTGTCTTCGGTACTAAAAGCCCTCTGGGCACCCAGTGCGGGTGCAGGCAGTCAGGTGGGGCTTCCAGAGCTGGGGACAGTGCACCCAGCATTAGCAGCTCCCCGACTTCTGGAGACAGTGTCCAGGAACGGCGGGCAGGCTGTTGAATCCCTCAGGGAACAGAACTCAGGGACTGCCGCACACGTCGCCCGTGCCATTCCTCATGCTGTCGAGACAGTACCACTCCACACACGCACAGTTCAGGCACAGAGTACAAGGGCCACACGGCCAGGTTGGCACGAGCTGCCAGGAGTACCGCCCCCACCACCCTTCTGTGGAATGGTTTTGACCACATCTGACAGCTGCATATATTTACTGTTCCACACACCAACCTCTGCCCAAATCAAGTCAGTGTCTACACGGACCCCGTGTGTCCTGACACAGAAATTACACGCCATGCTCTCCTATACAGTTCAGAGCGCTCATATATAAGACAGTACAGAAGAGATTTCCAGCTTTCTCTTCCTCCTTTCAGTGGAGGGAAGACCCTTAAGGTCATCCATGTCCCTTTTCCAGGCAATCAAAGAGTGTGTGTTCACACACACACCCGTGTACACATTCAATAATCTGATCAAATAAATCCACAGTCTGTAGAATTTAGTTATCCACCTGGTCACAACGTGCTCTCATTTTATGGTTTCTATTTCCTGTAGCATTTCCCCAAGAGAAAAACAAAACAACCAAGCCAATAAAATCTTTACTGGAAGCAACGGAAAACAAGCACGGCCCAGGGCTCCTCCTCCAACCATGGTCAAGGCGACCACAAAGGTCACTGCAGAAAGGAGCACCGAAGTCCTCAAGTGCTATTCTTTGAGGCCAAAGAAAAGCCCGCCTTTAGGCTCAGGGTACAACTTGGTGCTCAGGTTGTGTGAGAAACCCTGGGATTAAACCTCCAAACCATATGCACACACGTGTGCACGCACACACGCGCGCACACACACATACCCCCTCCCCTCACAGCAGCTCTGAGCTCAGTGCTAAAGTCCCCATTTTGCAGCTGACCACGCGAGGTTCACAGAAGTGACCCCTTCAGGTGCGTGACTTTACACCGGCTGCTCTCAGAATTCTACTCAAAAACTATGTGTGAAGGGAGCCACTGAAAAAACAGGGCAGGAAATTCTTACCCTCCACAAGTGGAAAATCCTCTTCAGCTCCTTGTGAGTGGAATCCAAGAACAGGTAAGGCCTCGGGGGCCAGTTCTTGTCTATTGGCGATAAGGAAGGCATCTTACTTTTCATTTCCAAGAAGTATTTTTGTACCTGTTTCGGGTTTGACAGACAATACCAGGATGAAGAAAATATATAGGAGAACGTACTGCTTTCTATGTTCCATGAGGTAAATAAAACCCCACACACTGTACGGCAGAATTTACCATTTCAAGCATACAGTATTGAGAGAAGTCCCTATTTCCTCTTCCACACCAGCCGGGGAGATCTGACCTCCACTAAAGGAGAACACTAACACTCATGACAACATCAGCCAGTGTCACAGAGTTAGGGGCCTTCTAGCTGCACCTGGCGGTTTACACTTCAATGTTAGGAAATCAGAATTAAATAAAATAAGCCAAGGGCCGGCCAGCTAGCTCAGCGGACTACAGCGCCTACTCAGGCAGAGCACAGCGGCCTGCATTTGATCCGTGCCAGCCCCGCCCCTGGGGCATGCTGAGACAGCAGTGGAAACTAGGTGTGGTGGTGCATGCCTGTAATCCCAGCGCTTGGGAGGCCGAAAACAGGAGGATCACTATGAGTATGATCTGTACAGTGCGACTCTGTAGACCTTGTACTAAATACATTAAAAAAAAAAAAAAAGCCCATCCCCAATCACAGTCGCTTTCCCTCGGCCAGCACCACTGGACTACAGAGCACAGATACAGAAAGGCCAGCATGGCAGAATACTGCCAACAGCCCCTGCCTGCAATGGGTTGGTGTAGGGAGCTTTTCATTTTATGATGTACAAAGGCAACATTTGTAGAAAGCGTACTTTGAAACTTGATCTTTGCCTGGGCTCTCCATAGGTAAAACAACGTTCTCTTGAGACACTGGTGACCCGGCACCCAGCCAAGACGGTCATCAGCCAATACCTGTGCTGGCCTGTGGCCCTGGGCTGTGATCGTGGTGAAGCGGGGGCACTGAGCACATTCCAGACTCACGACGGGCTCCCTGGCTGTGCGAATCTGCCTAGCACATGTCCGCCACTGTGTGAGCCTTGCGCCCCTACTCCTTGGGCATCCTCACATTGCTATGAGCTCAGGGCCACATTATCCTCATTTTACAGATGGGGGAGTGAAGGCCACAGAGCTCGAGGCAACCTCTCAGGTCACAGACCGTAAGTGGCAGTGTGGGCTGGCTCCTGCACCTGCCCCTCCCTACCACGCACTGCTCCGAGCAGAGGGCACAGCAGGATGGGCTTCGCTCAGCAACAGGCTCCGCCATCCTCTGTCACTGTCCATGTGCGCCCTGGCCCTGGCAGCATGACACCAAGGCAAATAAGACAGTTTATCAGTCCCACACAGGCCACTAACAGCTCTGATACGATGCTACCTGAATCTGGAGGGCAATACGGTCGCTACCTGTAACAGTTATGATTTGATCAATATTGAGTCATGGTTGGCTTTTTAAAAATGTCACATTCTATTGTTAATTACTAAGCAGCTCATCTAATTGTGCTAATTAGCCATATACACAAAGTGCCAACTTACGATTCTCTGCAGGGTGAACTCATAGATTTTCCTTCCAGCGTTAGCTCTGAAGAACTTCCTGTATTCCCTACGCACCTTGGAAAGAAGCAGATGAATGGTTAGAGCAAGGCTAGTACATGATCGCGATCATACAACTCTTTATAATATGAAAAATGAAATGAACATGTGGAACAACTGAGTTCAGGAGTGATCTTTCAGATGGAATAAATTAACTGGTGCACATTAAGGTCTTAAGTTGGAGAAAAAGAAATTGAGGGATATAAAATAATATCAAAATGAACTGATTTTAAATACTATCAGTAATTTTTAAAGAACCTAACGAGCTGATGAGAAACATTTTACAGGCAATGCTGCAAGCTTGTGACAACTTAAAAAAGACGCCAGCAAATGTATAAGCTACGTAAGGTTCATTTTCCCTTCAATTTGATTTATTAAATGGCAAATAAAAGTCTGAAGGACCAAAGTAAACTTTCCAAAATCCTTTTACATGAAGATAGGGCTTTAATATCATGCACTTTGTACTGACTGGTTAAACACAAGAACTGTAGGAGAGCTTTGGAATTGGGCTGGCGAGACAGCTCAGCAGTCTAAAGGGCTTGCTTAGGCAGGTTTAGGCAGGCACAAGGGACCACGGTCTGATCCCCGCCTGCTGCACCAGCCCCGCCTTGAGGGTAGGCTGAGCTGCCCCCCCCCCCCCAAAAAAAAGCTTTGGAACTACCATCCTCTTCCATTCAATTTTACTACATTTATACTTGATGTTACCAAAAAACTTAAAAACACTGTAGTTTTAATTCATATACCTTTCCCTCGTTACACTGTTGTAGTTTACTACTTAAAATGTGTTCCAAATAGCACTAATATGTTTGAAGAGTGAATGAAACAGTTTCATTTGAAGTTGAGCAGAAATATTAAAACTCTTACTATCCAGCAATAAATGGCACCATTCCAGTTTAGCAAAACCTTTATATAGTTGCATAATTCAGACATGTTGTCTCTTTTTTCTTTTGTATCCACTTTTCTGGGTTTAAATGATATTTTAGGGGGTGTCCAAGAGCAATCTACTACTCAAATCATTTTTATGTAAATGATTTGTATGTGTATAAGAATTTCATGTTATGCAGACTGCAGGTTTCTCTTAAAACTTGCTAAGCTCTAGCAGCAGAGCCCTGTAGCTATAGGACAGGGACCGGGTGTGGGGACAGGCTCCTGCTTCCAACTCCGAGCCCCACGGCCCCTAACCCACCTTCCACTTTCTGCTGCCCCAGTTTATACCACTCATCTGATCCCTCAGGGTACTTGCACCGCAGAACCTGAGAACCAGCATTAAACTGCTATACATCACGTAGGCGGTTTTTGTTTTTATTCATGGGCCAGTTAACATTTCCTTAGGAATTATTAGGTTCACAAATATTTCAAATCTGCTCCAACTTATATGGACAGCAGTCACACAGAGAAGAAAAATGGTGCCTGCTAGCCCACCCCGGAATCTGGAACAGCAGAGGGTCCTGGAGGAGCTACAGTGGACGTGTCCCACCAGAACACAGCCTTCCACGCCACGCGGTGGGAGTCCTCCTGCATTCAGTTCAATCTCACAGCTGAGGGCAACGCAACACGCTTTTTTTTTTTTTTTTTTTTTTTCCAAATTCTCCAGAAATCTGCTGCACTCAGTAAAAGCTTGCTGGCGACATGCCGACACAGACAATGGACTCAGGGTCCCTTGTGGGCGCCGGGAACCCTACACGAGCCATAATCCTGTGTCTGCCTTTCCAAAAAAATAAAAAGAACTACATCACTTCACAGGGCAAAATGACAGCTCCCAATATAACTCGGTTTTAAAGGGGAAAAAAATATTACTACATTCTTGGACTTCAGAGAAGCTGAACTATACTTCAAAATGCTAATGGCGATATATTTAAATACTTCTGTCTCACTGGAACTGGGGTCAAAATTTTTATCTCAAGTTATCCTACTTCTGCTTATGACACTCACTGAGAGACTGAATTTGCTTTGTAGGCTTGCTGGTGTGTGCCTCTAATGCAAAATATTTTGAAACCCTGTGCAATTAAACCCAGAAAACTGGAGATAAACGCATGATGAAGATTATTATACAAATAAATACCCTGACTCAACTTCCTTTTATGAAAATTAGAATGCAAAATGGAAATGTGAATAAAATTTCACTTGACTTCTAAAGAAAGAAGTTGTAGAGCTTGTTAGGATTCTTCAGAGTACCTGTTAAATTTATATTTAATTCATTACATGAAACATTATATTTAGTACACTCAGTATAATAAAAAAGAATTATTTCCTAAAGGTTTATCTGAACATTTGATGAGGGGATGCACCTTGTTCAAAGCAGAATCCAGGGACATATTTAAGAGTTTATCTGATTCAGAGTCGCTGGCTTCTCAGTTAATATCCAAAGGCTTAGAGTAAGATTAAATGTTAATTAAGCTTATTAATTAAATGATTTAAGCACAAATAGTGAAGACCAGTGTGGAAATAGAGTCTATTTATCCTCCACAAGCAATGCATGTGGAAGATGCATTATGGAGACTAGTGAGTGAGTCTCTGGAATCCTCCTTGAGTCTGCCCACAGGATTACAGAGTTTGGGGACAGACTTGCGCACTGACCCCGGGGCACCTTTATCTTACTGTTGCAGTAAGCTTCCCTGTGAAATAGAACCTGCCCACATCACAAGGCCCTGGAGCTTAAAGTTCTACCTAACTGAACAATGTACCGGGCTCTATCATCTCATTCATGAAAACATGTACATTTATGGAGGCAAAATCCTCTGATGCATATTCTGAACATTGAGAATCATGTTCGCTTGAAGAAAGTTGAACTCAGGCCCCCGTTAGTGGGGAGAACAGGCAGGTAGTGGGGAACAAAAAGTCTGCTCCCCGTAGGCTGGTGACTGTGCCCCATGGGTCAGCTTTTGGCTCAAGAATTATATTCCGAGGGGCACGCTAAGCCAGTGATTGAGACTGGGCATAGTGGCGTGCACCTGTAATCTCAGTGTTTGGGAGGCTAAAAACAGGAGGATCACTACAACTCTGATCTGCATAGTGAGACCCTGTAGACCCTGTACTAAATACATTAAAAATTTAAAATTTTAAAAAAGAATTATACTCCATCTCATGACTCAAAAAAACATATGTGCTCATAAAATAGAATTCAGATAACAAAGTATCTTGGATAAAATGTGCCATACTGTTAACTCCTTTGAACCCATTATCCAAAGAAATTAAATCACATTAAAATCAGAAAGACATTCATGTACAGGGTTTTTTTCTCCAAAAGAACCAAGAGGAGGCCCGGAGATCCGTTCCCAGAGTGTGCAAGCCCCGCGCAGCGCCCAGGAGTCTGCTCCGGGTTAGTAGGTGCTGGGCAAGGTCCGGGCGTCACCCCGACAGGAGAAAGGTGGAAGAAGTACCTTCAGTCCAAGCCAGTAAGCCCAAATGACAGCCACTGCATGCTTACGCCTAGCCTCCGCCTTCAAGCGTTTCAATTCCCTTCGAGCCTAGAACGTTTTAGATAGTAAATGAGAGAGGCAGCCCAGTGCAGACAGAACAAATGACCAGAAATGACACCCCGCCACACAGGAGAGCCAGTCACGGAAAGGCGCTTCAGGACGACAGCGGAACCGTGTGCACTTTCCACCCCGGGATCAGAGACCCGCTGGGCAGCTGCTGCTGTGTTCCACAAGCCGAGACTCCACTCCAGGGGCAATTCGTGGGGCACCCCAGGCATCACCCCGTACCCCTCGGGTTCAGGCTTTTCCATCTCTATCTGCTGTTTTATAGCCCTCCTCACTCCTTTGTCCTCATTCTCTTGAGATGGGCCGGACCAAAGGCTTAGCGGTGCGTGTGACACTCACAGCACGTGGATCTGAACCTCTCTACGGTCTCTCATTGGGTCCGATAAAAAGACAACTCTTGTGAGCACTACTTGGAAAATGAAAAGGAATCAGGGCATTCCGGAAGTGCAAACAAAAATCCAAACAAACTAAACTAAAAAAAAAAAAAAAATTGAACTTCAGCTAAGGTTCCAAACAGTGAACTATATTAAGGATGGAAACAAGGCGAAAAAAGTGAAACAACTTACAGTTTTAAAAATTATACCGAGGGGAAAATTAATTTTAGGCTTGCTATTTTAAGAGGAAGAGGTCGACATTATTTTTTCCAGACACTGCAGTATGGAGACCAGGAAATAAGATCACTCAGTAAAGTCATGCCAGCGTAATATCTGAAGAACTTCTCCCTCGGTTACGACAGAGCCTTTAGTTGACTCAAGGAAGTAGTCTGTCCTTCACGGAGTGGTAGAAAAACCCAAATGAACACCTTTGGTTAGTTTGGGACAAAACACGTTCTGGGTGGATAGTTTGGGACAAAACACGTTCTGGGTGGAGGCAGAGTGAGTTTTCTCATCTTCCTCCCAAGTGGGCTAATGATGTTGACAAGACGGACTTAAAAACACAGATGTTTGTGTTTCTAAGTGGAATACGCATTTTTAGCAGCCATGACCTCTGATTTTCTAAGTAACAAAAACATCTAAAAATCTTGTCCCTTGGGGTATGGGAAATGTTCACAGAGCCCACGACTACGACTGGGGATTACTGAGAGTATTTCAGGAGGCTTTTGTTTTTGAAAACAAGCAGCTGATGCTGACATTCCTGGGATTCCTCGGTGGCCATGACAGCAAGCTTTGCGTGAACATAGTATTCTGTGAAATTACAGATGCTCATTCTTTTCATATGGAATATTTTGCTTAGAATAATCAATAGATGCCACAGTGAGCCTAAAAATATAATTTCATTCATGGATTAATTTTCTTAAGGCATGCATTACAGGCATTTCATTGTCAATGCACTGGAGAAGACCAATTCAGGCTCAAATCGATATTCCCAGCATGCCCCTCTCATAACGATACCTCTAAAAAACTGCCAGCATACATTGGCAGGGGGCAGGGAACTAAACATGCAGGTTACTTAAGAGTTCTTTAAAAAGAGCAGTTTCACTAATGCCTGATTAGTAAGCAATTAGTTTTGGCCTGCACATGCCTAAGTGTCCTGTGCATACACAGCTCTAATGTCCCAGGCACCCGGAGCCTGGCCGTGGGGAGCATGCAGCAGGGGGAGCCGCCAGGGGCTGCAGTCATTCCACCCCTTGCTCGCTAGAGGCAGGATGGAGTGGAGGGGCGTGTGCATCAGTACCTTCGATCCAAGCCAGTAAGCCCAGATTACTGCAATAGCATGTTTATTCCTAGCCTCCTCCTTCAGCCGTCTCAGCTCCCTTCGCGCCTGTGGTGCACGTGAAAAGGAGTGACAGAGAAGCGTAAGGCAGGAGAGGTAGGTTACTGCTGCTTCCCAATGGGGAAGGAAAAGACAGACACTGTGACCGCCATGTGGGGATCACCAAAGCGTGTGCCGCCACCCCGCACCAAGAGGACAGAGCAAGAGAGCAAAGGCATGCTCAGTAGCTTAAACCCGCATGTGAAATGCTCCCTGTCCCTGGTCTCAAGGTGCCCGGCGCTGCAGGTGGCACTCCCGACCCCCCGGTCCTGCAGGTGTGGGCCTACCTGGGTCCCATGCCAGTAGGCGGCGATGGTGGTGGCTGCCTCCTCACAGCGCTTTTGATGCTTCAGTTCCCGCAAGATTTTTCGAGCCTATGGGACAGAATCACCCCCAAAAAGGGAACAAAGAGGAGGAAGAGGAAAAGGGAGGGAGGGAAAGGAAGTTCGGTAACTCAGAGTCCTGACCCCCATGCCAGTGAAGCAGCAGCAGTTCAAAGCAAAGCTGAAGCCACTAATCCCAGACCTGAGGGCATGGAGGGCCACGAAGACACCCTGGAGGAGACAGATGGCCCCAGCCCAACGGCAAGCACCTGAGCCCCTACCAGCTGGTGGCTATGGAGGGAGAGGACAGGTCTCAGAATGAGGTCTTTAGGGGTCCTCCCATGTCCGGGAAATCACCTATCACCACTGGATGCTATTTGGGGCTCTATCCTTGTCATTTGAGAGATTTTTTAAAAAATTTTTCTAAAAACAGTGATCATACTGATCTCCAACCAGTAGTTTCTCTCTAGCAGTTGTTAGAAACTAATTGTATTGGGCCTGGAACGGGCCCGGGACCTGCCTCGGAGCACCTCGCTGCCCACTGGGCTCCTAAGTCCAGGGACAAAGTCAGGGATTTACCCGCAGGCACAAGTTTCCTGTGCGTCACATGCCCACGACAGACGATTCTGACATCTACTAGGGGAGGCCAAGGTCTTGGGCAGCTCAGCACCTAGACAAAGGTCAACCCAAGCAGCCGGACTCCTGGCCCACACTGTCACCCCTTAGGCGCTCCTGGCTGGCCGGACTGAAAGGATCCCTCCTAGGTCCACAGCATGCCAAAAAATCTCCCCTCAGAAAAGTGGGCAGAAAAGACCTGAGCAGGGCCCGTGAGCTTTTCCTGCAAGGGGCCAGGTGGAAGTAGGTTGGCACAGCAGGCGCGTGGCCACCACCAATACCGCCCGACTCTGCCAGGCAAACGGACACCCTGTGAAATCAATGACTGTGACCGCGTTCCAATGAATCCCTCCCTGGACACTGCATCTGTAGTTCATGTAATTCTCACATATCCTGAGATCTCTTCTATTGCTTTTTAGCAGTGGTTTAAAAACCATTTTGGGCTCACAAGTTATAGAGCAGGCCTCAAGTTAGCTACTGAAGGTTGTCATTCGTGGACCCCTGACCTAAGCTGTGGCAGGAAGGACCAGAACCAGGTCACTACTGAGACACTCCTGCACCACCAGACCTAGCCAGAGCTCAGGACCCCTGTCCCACACTGTCCCCCCAGTCACTGCGGGGAGCCCCTGGGAGTGTTACAGAAGCTGGTGCACTCAGGGCACTGAGATCTGGTGGGATTCAGGCATGCAGGAGGTACTGGAAGACAGCTTTGGAAACCACCGGGGCCAGGGCATCCTGGAGTCATGCACAGTATTATTTTAAGGACTTCCTCCTCAGAGAATTAAGCTCTCCAAAAGCAAGCAGGTTAGGAGGAAGCAGCCAAGACACGGTGGAGGGCGGGGGCCTGCAGAGCCCACAGGATTTATTCTTTTCTCTGAGTGTTTACAAGTGGGCAGGACATGAGGCACCCTCCCCCCAGGTGAGCCCAATGACATCCTCCTTAGTGATGAACCCCGGCCCCCAAGCGAGAAAGCACACGCCTTCGGAACTCACCTTCCAGCCCCGGATGTAGGACTGAATCAGTAGGGCAGAAGCCTTGGTCCGCTGGTACCTCTTCTGTTGCTGCAGGAGGAAGGGCAGAGGTTAGCAGCTGCTGTTACGTGGGGCGTTCGCTCACTCAGCACCATGGACCCACGTGGACTTCCGCATCTGCGCTGCATGGTCGCTCATTCCTTGTCATTTGTCACTGTGGGACTCACTGGGCCCACCTCCACCCTCCCCGGTTCCTCTGAGGTTTGCCGTTTTCATGCTGGGAAATCAGGTAATGGCTTCAGTACACTGCTGCTGACAGACCAAACACATACAGGATGCATGGAGCTCACGAGGGAGCTGAACCATGGGGAAAGGAACACAAGCCACACTGTCCCTGCCCTCAGGAGTCTGCAGGGGACAGATGACAATAGGGCCAATGATAAACCCACCCTGAATGCTGGGGGGGGGCTTAGGGCAGGGAGAGCTCTGGCAGGCACAGGCTCCTTGAGGTGCCACACTCTTGCTCAACAACATGCCCAGAGGCCTCGGGGAGGTGAAGCTGCTGGAACATGTCCCCCGGGCGTGTGGCCTTCTGTGCGGAGCACACACCATAACATGGGTACCTCAGTGGAAGTCTCACAACCCTGAGGTCAAATGCTGCTCGCCCCGCACAAGGAAGCACCAGGACGCTCAGCTCCTGCTCTGAGGTAAGCGAGATTTCTGGGACCCTAAAGTTTCACTTTACAGGCACAGAGATGATGCGGGGTGGGGGCATGCCAGGGAGAAAGGCCAAGAAAACTCTGTACCTCAGACAGACAGTGACCCTTCACCGGCCTCAGCTACTGAACAAGGAGCCAGGCAATCCTAAGGTTCCCCAAAGAACAGTATCCCAACATGCACAGGAATATCCCAACACTACATGCATCTGACCATCCGACATCCAGTCAGTATTTCTCCCTTTTAATTCCTAAATGTCTTGAAAATACCTCTGTTTAAACTTTATCCCAAGAAGCAATAAAACATCATAAAATACGGAATACTTTGAAAATAGCAACAGGCCTTCAGGAAATCTGGAGTTATACTCAATTGAGAGAAAACACTCAAAACCATCACTGGTATGAACAGCGGATCCTACCAACTGGCTGAGTATATGGATCTAGCACTCTAGCAGAGTTAAAGCCTTCTCTAGAACAAGCTATCACAAGTTTCTATATTACGCATTAACACTGCTCCTAATTCCTACCTCTGTGAATCAGTGCTATGCGGTGACCCCAGCCTACTGACATAAAAGCTCTCCAGCGGCCGAGAAGGCATAGACACACTCGCCGCCCTGGTTCTTTGCCGTCCTCGTCCTTCCCCTCCCCCTCCCCCCCCCCCTCCCCTCCCCCTCCCCCTCCTCCTCCTCCTAAGTCTTTTTCTGAAGGCTGTGGTCACCACCCTACGTAAGTCACTCCCCCTCTCCTCATTCCTCTTTCTCTCAGCTCTATTTCCATCCTAGCACTTGGAACAATCTGTGACACATCTGGTACCCTACTAGATGCAAGCTTCATCAGACTAGGATTTAGGGTGCTCTGTCCCCCTTGCTTTTCCCAGGATCTGGCACACAGGGCTTTCAGAATAATGTGTAGAATTTCAGGTAAATGAATCAGTATGTCCCTAAACATGGGTCTTCCTAACAATTTCAGGTAAGAAAAAAAAATACAGAGGGCTGGGTGGGGCCTGGCTGTGTGTTGGTCCCACCTTTCAGGCAGACAGAGATCAGTCCTGTGCATCTACAAAAGGGTGGAGCGGTGCTGCTGGAGCCAAGAGAGGAAGCCACCCCACCAGCCAGGTGACAACTGTCCTCCGTGGCTTCGCAGAATGCGTAGGAATAAATGCACCATTCGAAGGGCCAGCCAGACTTACACTAAGACTTATACTGCTGATCACAGATTTTTAAGATAAAAAAGAACGACTGTAAAGATATTCTTTCAAAGGTCAAACAAATTTTCTTTTGGTTTCATCTTTTAAGTATTTCATTAATTTCCAGACATGGAAATACTGTGATACACTAAAACATACTACACTATATGGAATCCCTCTGACTACACTGTTCCGATTACTGCCTTAGACCACAGCCACCGACAGCCCCCAAAGGGGCACAAGACACAAGATGAGATCTGGCTGCAAATTTGGTTCATTCCCCACATCACTCTGCAGTAAAGAAG